TGTCGCAGCCCTGCCGGCACGGTGGGCACCAGGGCATCCTGAGAAGGGGAAACAGGATGGGAAGTGAGTCACACGGGACACTGCACACGACTCCCGCAGCAGGGCTAGGCAGGGAGCTCATGCAGCCAGGGCCAACTCCTTCTAGAGAAAACCAGAGTTTAGGGGAGCACATGGGCTCATTAACCCCACAGGGGGGCATACACAATCACAGAGGCAAAGTACAGAGCGTCCATGTCTCGGCGAATGGCTCGGCTCCCGGCTGAATCCCAACCCCTAGAAGTTGCTGCTGAAAGAGAAGGAACAAACAGCAATGGCAGGAACATCGGCGATCAGCAGGTGGAACTACCCTAGCTGAGAGGTGTAGAAAGTGAGGGCCTGTGAAAAGCGTCTTGCCCAGAGTCACAGGGTCACTCAGTAGCAGATCCAGGATCAGAACAGGGGTTTCCTGGCTAGTGTTCCTGGAAAGGAAGGGCCACCGTCTCCAGCCGACCTTCTGGATCATTTCCGGGGCTTCTCCTCTTTAACTGCTGAGCTCTGCCCATTCCCCTCAGGCCCTAAGCTGGGCTTCCTGCCTCCATCCCTGGGCGGCCCCTCACTCTCACTCCTGGACTCATGCGCTCCGGGCTCCATCCATCCAGTTGCCGCATGTGGTCTCTCCACAGCTGGTTCCGTACTGGGAGAAGACGTTTGATATCGACCTGTCAGCCCCGCAGATAGGAGTCGTCAATGTCACTGACGTGAGTTCCCTCCCCTCACACCCTGCTGGCCCCCAGCTCTGCTGCCCAGCAGAAAGAGCTTTCCTAGGACTGAGCCTTCCCAGAGGAATTAGACGTGCCCAGTCTCACGGCTGGATAGAGGGAGATGCACACCCTGAATACAGCCCATTCTCCACCTGTTGGAATCGGCTGCTCATCCCTCAAGGCCCAGTTCAAATCCTCTCTTCTCCATCAAGTTCCTCCGGATCTCCCATTTGGAATCATTCTCTCCTTGGCATACTCCCCATGCCCATTTGGCATTAAGAACGTGGCTTTTCTATGGTTATATATGTTTCATGGCTGTCTCTACCAATAACTTTTTGAGGGCAGAAATCTTCTCATTCCTTCTCATGGAAAACTTAGTACAAAAAGTCAAAAGTAGGAAAATGAATATCAGGTTCAGAAAAAGGCAAGGAGGTTTTTTTGTTTTTGAAAGGCTTCTGAGTCTAGAGCTCTCTGGGGATGGTGCTGGAAAAGCAGGTTAGGGAAAGACTTGACTGACTGTTGAAGATCTGCGGACTCTACTCTCCAAGTCCTGAGGAGCCACCGGTTGTTTTACATCAAGGGCGGGCCGAGATGTCTGTTCGGGGAAGCCTGGTGTGGGGAGAACATGGCAGAAAACCTGAAGGAATAAGTCTAGTGGCCAGTGCATCCTTTGCGTGTAGCCCCACCGTGACTATTCTAGAACCTAGATCTTCATCTGGACAGTTTCCCTGGCCCCTGACATGAAGGGAAGGGGCAGGGATGTAGGGAAGGGCGTAGAGTCCGGGGAGGCGGAGGACAGGTCCAGAGACCTGAGTCGGGCTTAGTGCGGGTCCCCCGTCTGTGCCATGTTGCAGGCGGACAGCATATGGATGGAGATGGATGATGAAGAGGACCTGCCTTCCCCTGAGGAGCTGGAAGACTGGCTGGAGGATGTGCTGGAGGGCGAGATCAACACAGAGGACGATGACGAGGATGAGGACGATGACTAGTTGCTGTGGCAACCGTCTCCCAGCCCTGCCTGCTCACCTCCTGCTCCCTGCTCCCTCCCTGTTCTTCCCTGAGCCCCTCCAGGGACACCAAGTCATTCTCTGCCATAGGGCCTGCTGGGGTCTATATACTGGGTGCTGAGACTGACCCCCCTCACCTGCTGCAGGAAAGAGCTGCTTTTCCCCACACATCTGCCCAGCCATCTTGCCGGACCTGCCTTACCTGTCCCACACTGTCCCTGGGTCTGTTACTTGTTTCTTCCATCACCCCCTGCACTTTGTCAGTTTCCTCTGCAGTATCTAGGGGCTCCTGTCACTCTTCTGTTCCCTCCCCCTGTGCATACTCACCCCCAGCTCTCTCAAACCCTCGATCCTTTGACTGTCCTGTCCCTGGCCAGGAAAAAGGGGAGGGCACAGCGTTCAGGGCTATATCTCAGCAATCTCTCATTAATGTACTTGGATCAAAGGAGAGACCTCAATAAAGCACTGGGGGCAGCATGAGCAAGTGTGCTATGCTGAGGGAGACAGCCAGAGGATGGAGCATTAAGGTGTGGGGGCCTTGATAGGAGACTGTGATAGGAGGCGGGGCTGGGCTCCCTCCAGACATTATTCCAGAGAAATTCTTTATCTGCAGCAAGTCAACAAGCCTTTGCTGGACACACAGTGTTCGTCCAGTCCCGCTGGGAGGCTCTGGGGAACAGAGAGTGCTGAGTCTGTCCCTGCCCTTGAGCTGATTAGCCTCACTGGGAAGTCAAGACAAGCACACTAAACAATTGAAGAAAAATACAAAGCAATATGTAATTAAGTGATTATGTGCTGCTGATAGGGCCCTCCCTGCAGCTCTTGAACAGTGAAGATGGAGCCCAAAGAACTCTGCCTCAGCCTTCCAGGAGGGCACCCCTCCTGTGGGTCCTCAGGGTTCACACTGCCCTCTCCCTGGCCACCACCATTCGAGTGCCCAGCTCTTCACTTACATGGCCATCCTCCCAACTAGACCGCGAGCCCCTTGAAAGCAGGAACCCAGGCCTTTTCTCTGTGCCTGAAAGGCCTGGCACACAACCAAATCAGTCCCTAATAAATGAGGGCTAACAGAATGGGTTCAGAGGAGAGGGATCACAGCGGGCTCTGGTGTCTTCACAAAGGAAGTTGGCATTTTCTAGCCCTTAAATGAAGAGTTCAATTTGACTGGGGGCACAGGAGTCGGGAGGGGACATTTCCATGGGTGGAAACATCAGAAGCACTGGCAGAATCTTGGGGGCACAGAAGAGACCAGACAGGTGGGAAGACAAGTCCAAGTGGTGGCTGTGAGGTGGGGCGGGCACAATGGCGCCGGGTTGTGAGCTGGGGAGGAAGGCGAACTTTAATCTGGTGCTGGTGAGCCGGATGGATGGAGGGAGGAGAGTGCAGCTGGGAGAACTTGCAGAGTTCTCGGAGAGCTTGGACCTGGATATGGGAATGGAGCGGAGACTGCTGAGTTTTGCACACTCAAGATCCCCAGACCTGGAGTCCCTGGTGGGAAGATCTAGAGTCTCTCCAGCAGAGCCCAGGCAGGCATATGTGTCCTGGAGTCAGGATGGGGGAACCAAGCAACTGCACAAGTCCATAACTAATAGACACTAGGGTTTTCATGGGTCAGGTTTAATGGTGCTGCTAGGTGACGGAGAGGACTTCTAAGACCTGAGATCACAGAAGCATTCACCCTCCCGACAAATCCAGGAAGTGCTCCTAGAGGCAGCAGCAGGAATGTAGAGTAGAAACATGCCTTCTTCCACCACATACCCACTTAACAGTTACATAGTATGGGCACCTGGCAATACAATAATGCGGGAGCTTACTGTCAAACTTCCTTCAGCGGAAGGCCCAGACTAAACAACAGCGCCCATGGTTTAAGCACCCATCTGTTCCAGAACCGAGGGACTTAAAGCTCAGAAGAATCCTGTAAATTGGGCATCAGCATCCCCAGGTTACGGGCAAGGACCCTGACGTCCAGAGACCTAGCCTGCCCAAAGAGTAGAGCCAGCAGGAAGCCCGAGTCCCCTGCACCTGCTGCCTCAGGAAGACAGGAACCTCACGGACTGTATGTAGTTAAGTCATTACGTTTCTCCAAGTGCCAGAGATGCTCAGGAAATTGTTTTTAGCCCCACAGCACAGAATGAATGAGATATACACAAAGGCAGATTGGGGGGCGTTGCTCTCAAAGGGACAAGGGCAGAACTGATGGAGGGGTCAGGGAACAGCAGACAGAAGGGCAGAGGAGCTGGAGCCCCATAGGGGCAGTGCAGACTCCAGGAAGGAGGGGCTCACCTGGGCTTCCTGAGGGTCTCAGCCAGGCCCGAGCACCAGTGAGGCCAGGGTGGCTCCAGAGGTGGCACAGACACTGCTGGGGCTCAGACCTCCTGCCAGGGCCAGACTCTGCCGGAGTTGAGGCGAGACCCCTGAGGTTGGAGATGGGGTGAAACAGATGCTTCCCCACTTCTTCCTTCCCTCTTTCAGTCTGGCTGAGACTCTGGGGAGGAAAGTCCCTGGATGGAGGGGAAGTGAGAGCTGCCCTGCGGGGCCTGGGCAGAGGGGCAGAGCCCCGCAGACCAAGTGTGGCTTTGCAAATTGTCTATATTTGCATACTGAGCTCATTGCTGTTCTTTTTCTCCCCAGAAAATAAAATTACATCATGGTGGGGAGAAGGTGTGAGGTGGTATAGTTGGGAAAGGTGAGAGGAACACGAGGGGGCCGCTGGCATCATCCCGGAGAGAGATCAGTGGCGGGTGGAGGGGGTAAGGAGGCCACAAGTGGCTCCGGGCCACGACTCTCCCCTCCCCCCACCCCTGGGGGTGCGTGTGAGCGTCCCCAGCCCCTGGGGGCAAGAAGGTTTTCCAAATTCCAAGCCGGGCGGCTACGAGGAGCCGGAGGCCAAAGGCCCTCCAGCCCCCACACCCTGCCTTACCCCGGGCCCCCCAGGGCCCAGCCCTGCGCTCAGGGAAGGTTCCGGGAGGGGGGTGTCCCCCCGGGAAGACTCAGGCCCGGGAGCGGGGTTCGCCCTTAGGGGCAGAGGCAGCGCCCCGAGCCGGCCCTCCCCTTCTCGCCCCCGGCGCTCCAGGCGCCCCCGGCCCTCCGCCTCCCCGCGCCCCGCCCCCCGGCGCCCACGGCCCCTCCGCCTACCCTTCCCCGCCCCCCGGCGCCCCCGGCCCTGCTCCTCCCCGCGCCCCGCCCCCCGGCGCCCCCGGCCCCTCCGCCTCCTCGCGCCCCGCCCCTCCCCGGCTCTGACATCACGGCCCGCCGGGTGGGGCGAGGCGGCGCCGGGCTCGGCTCGGCTCCGCGGGCGGAAGAGGCGGCGGCGGCGGCGGCGGCAGCGGGAGCCGAGGAGGAGGCTCCGGACGCCGCTCGGGAACTGGGGACGTCGCGTGCCCGCGCCCTGAGCGCTCAGCCCCGGAGGCGGTGAGAGGGCGCGCGGGGCGGGCGGCGGCCCTGGGGGGCTCGGGGCGGCGGGGAGCGCGGGCGGCGGGCGGCGAGGGGCCCCGGAGGCGCGTCCCGGGCGCCGAGTGCGCGGCGGCGGCGTGGCTCGGGCCGCCCTGTCCGCGCGGCCCGGCGCGTGGGAGCCCGACCGGGCCTGGGCGTCGGGTGGAGGCAGCTTCCCGGCCGCCGCCTCCCGCGCCGCCTCCCCTGCCCTGGCCCCGGACTCGCGGCGGCCGGCGGTCTCCCTGCCCCGGCGCCTCAGCTCCCCGGCGGCCGCCCCTGCTGCGGGCCGCTCTCCGCCCCGGGCCCCCGCGGAAGGTGGGACTGGCGGGAGCCTGTCCGGAGGTAGGAGGAAGGAGCCGGGGGCCTGGGGGGCGAGGTCGCTAACGTGAAAGCCCTGATTAATTTCACATAATCCGTGTCAGGACTGACGGGGGCACACACACCTACGAGAGACTCGCCGGCACACACAGTGACACACGCCCATGTGACTCTTACACACATTTCGCACACAGCAAATCCCCAACGCGCTACACATCCAGCGCCACACCTCAGCGCCACTGCCGCCCCCAGCAGCCTCCTGGAAGAGGGCATCGCCTAACCGGGCGGCTGGGTGGCGGGCAGCGTGCCCACGCCCACCCTGGTTTTCTGGGCGCCTCCTCCCAGCCCTGGGCTGCGGATTGCCCTCTTTGAAACAGTGGGAAAAGATGGGAGAAAATCCTGGTCTCACTCCAGGACAGGGAGACAGGCTTTCGGGGAGTGAGCCCGGTGCCCTGAACCCGCGTGAGTCAGGAGGGCAGGGGCTGCGGCCCCTCCTGTTGGGTCCAGCTAGAGCTAAGGGTGCTGGGAGAGGCTGGTTTCTGGGCATCTGTGTGGCCGCGGGATGGAAGAGGGGGTGGGAGAGGGGGAGAAAGAATGAGAGTGAGTCAGCCAGCGAGGATGGGGCCCGAGTCAGAGAGAGAGAGAGAGAGAGAGAGAGAGGAATGTGTGTGAGAGGGACCGAAACATGGCCGGGGACGGGGAGGGAGGAAGTGGGAGACCGAGGCGGCACGGAGCGTGCCGGGCAGTGGACCACGGGGGCCGCCGAGTGGAGAGCGGGAAGGCAGAGAGTGGGGGGAGCTGGGGAGCTGGGGAAACGCTGAATCTGTTTCTGTTTCTCTACGTGCCTGGCCCCCAGGCTGTCACTGCGATTAGCTTTAATTGCTCTTCCCTTTGTGGTTAAACACTCTGGTGGGGGAAACTGCCAGAGATGCCCTAGGCTGGCTGCTGCCCTGGCTGCCTACTTCCTCCTGTCCCTGACACCTGTGCCCACTGACGCTGCACGTGTCATCACACAGGAAGAGGAGGCCTTCGGAGCCATGCCAACCCCTCACTCCCACACTGATGCTCACGCACAAAGCCACGGCGGACACCACCAACCTGTATGTCGCCAGCCAACCCAGGCCCGTCCCCGCCAAACTTGCTGTCTCTTTACAGCAGGAAACTCACTCCTGCCTAACATATGGGAGCTCTGAGTATTCAGATGGGGACACTGAGTCACTGCTCTCAGGAGTCCTGAGTATCTGTTCATGGCTACCACCCGGTGGGACAGGATGCCAGCCCACTGGAAGGAAAGGAGAAGAGAGCTGGGAGACCAGGGAGAGGAAATGGGTGAGGAGAGACAGGTGGGAGAGGAGCGGAGAGCACACAGGCCACCCCCTGCCGGCCTGCCTGACCCAGTGCCCGGGGTCTCCTGACACCCCCACCCCCATCTGGGTCTCGTCTTCTTCTCCTAGACTAAGGGCTGAAGGCGCAGCAGTGCCCCTGTTCCCAGGGGTAACCCGTTTTGCTCTGGGACTGGACTGAACATGTTGGGGCTCACGTGTTTTGCCTCCCTTCATTCCCAGTTAGACTGTGGGGCCCTAGAGCCTCTTCCTTTGCTACAGGAATAAAGGTCTCCCCCCACCCGGCAGGCTGAATAGAAGCTGAGGGAGGGAGTCAATGGAGTATATGACATGAAAGAGTAATTAGGGATGAACTACAGGACTGCTTGAATTTGGGGCCCAGAATTCAAAATGGGAGCCCTGCCGTCCCCCTTCCCACCCCTCTGCCTCTTGATTACCACCTCCCACCCCAATCCCACGCGGCCCGCCGGGAGGCCTAGGCCGGGATCTCCAGGTCCTTGCAGCTGTGGAATCGCCCCTCCTCTCCACCGCAGGCAGCTGCAGCAGATGTGAGAGGGGAGGGCAGCAGCTCTAATGCGCAGGCTTTCGTAGGTTGAGGATTTGGAACCAAGTGCTGGGGAGGGGGGGTAATCGTGAATTCCCGTCAGGGTGCACACACATTCTTCTGGTGTGGCGACCTCCTCCACAGGTGGCTATCCCACCTGGCTAGGTTTCTCAAAGTGCCCTGGGGCCGGCTCCTTCCTGCCCCATGCCCACAAAGCACCCCAACTCCCACCCTAAAAGGTAGCATGTAATGGCCCTGACGTCCGGCCCCTCTTCCCCAGCATCCTCAGTTGGTTCCACCTTTGTCAGGGCTCCACCTGGGGCCAGCTTGGAAGGAGAGGGAGGGAGGAAGGAAGGAAGGTGTGAGGAGGCCGTGAGCAGAGCGCAGAATGATCGCGAGGGAAGGGGACCGACTTCCTGGCAGCCTCAGCTCCGGTTCCCGGTTCCTGCCGGGTATCCTGTCCCAAGAACGGCCTCCGCCCAGGCTGCCTGGTGTTCCCTGGGCGGCCTCTGCACTGCTCCAGACATCAGGGGAAATTTTCAGAGCTAGGAGGGGTGGAGGCTCCTGTCTAGGCCCTCAAGAAGCCTGAGTCTTGGGCAAGGAAAGTGACAGAGTGGAGAAGCTGAGTTTCTGCCAAGCCCCACCATGGCCAGACCACCCAAGACAATGGCTGAGCGCTGAGACCTGGGAGCCCCGTGAGGAGATTGCACCGCCCTGCACCCCAAATGTACCCTCCCCGAACTCCCCAAGGGGCTGTCCTTGGCCCTGCTGCCACACCCAGGCCTGGGTACAGGGGGTCTCTCCAGGGAGGCAAGCAGCAGGCCTGTCCCTGCTCTGGGTGGAGGATGTGACAGGGGGGGAGGGCTGGCTTACTCCTGTCCTTTCTATCCCTTCTTACTCACCACTCCCCACGCCCCTCCCCTCCAGTGGTGCCATTGTCCTGATGGCTGGGGGGGGGCACCCAGAACTGAGGTTGCTTTGGTGACAGCTGAGCTGAGGCTGCAGCCTCCTCCTAGGATGGGCTCCCCGCCCCCAGGACCCCTTGTTTGCAGCCTCAGCCTTTTCCTCCTCGCAGCTCAGCTCTCTTCCTCCATTCTGCACGATCCCCTCACCCTTCCTCTTCTCTGGATGTGAGTCGGTGATTACAGACCTTCTTATTATCCATACTGTCAGCTGGTTCAGACACACAATCACACAGACTGCAGAGACTCAGCCACACATCCAGTGCAGAACGTCCACACCCCGCAGATCCCAGCCGCCATCCCCTCCCATACCCGTGCCCACACCCAGGGAGCCCTGCGAAGCCGGGTGCACACACATTCCTCTCTTGCCACCTTAACATTCCCACCCTGTTTCTCTTAGAAGCCTCCTTGTATCTGTTTCACGCTTAGAAAGTGCCTACACACCACCCCCCACCCTGGGTGGGTGGGTGTCACACACGTTGATCCCTGCCTGCCTCCCTTCCCTGGAAGTCTGGGTTTAGATTCAGAGCCCTAAATCTTAATTCTCCCAGGAGACAGACACACAGACACACACACTGTCCTCCCACAGGATCTATTTACAAACTCTTCTTCATGAAAGGAGGCTAGGATGACCCTAAATTATGTCCCATTTTGCAGCTGAGGGTTTGGTCTGAGGTCCCCTCCACTGGGGCAGGATCTTTCTGGTGGCCTCTCGCCTCTGTCCCGTGTGCTGCCCTCTCTTTTTCAGCTTTTCTCATACACCACCACCCTCCATTATTGTCCTCTGTGGACCTCCTCCCCATCATCCCTCTTGCTTGCACCCTCCCCTTTCTGTCCTCAGATTATCAGGGGGCAGGGGGTGCTGGGCTCCAGAGCCTGCTGCTGTGACCTAGATTTCAAGGCGGGGACGGTTCCTGGTGCTGACAGTCAGAGAGCATTGTTACTGGCCCAGCCTGGCAAGGCCTCCGCTGGGCCCTTCCGTCTGGTTGCACCTGGGTGTGCAAGTAAGCGTGCCTTTCACTGCCTGTTCCTTGTAGGGGGCGTCTGGCCCTGCTGCCTGGCTGTGTTTGTGTCACAGCGCCTGCCACCAAGGGTGCTTCTTTGTTCTGGCCCAAGTAGGGAGCTGTGAATGGGGACTCTGTGTCTGCGCCTCTTACTACGTATGTACGTAGTGACCATGGTTCTCTGCCTCAGTTTCTCTACGTAGGCCAGAAATAAGGAACCAGCCCCTTTCTATCTGCCATATTCCCAGCCTATTGTGATTTGCGGGCAGTCTCAGTCAGGTACAAGGTCATGGAGCTCCTTGCTGCACCCCTTAGTCTAGCCACAGTTTTTTTTTAAGTTTATTAAGTAATTTACTTCTCAAAATGCTTTACTTTTCTGATTATAAAAGAAATGTATACTCATTGTGAGGGGAAAACCCTGTTTTAAAACTCACCACTAGGAATTCACATTTTATCTAATCGAAAGAGTTCATTCTAAGGACCTTTCTTCCTGTCTTAGCCACAGTTCCTATCTTAGTGTGGAAGGTGGACCTAAAAATGTTCTCCCCTTTTTCACTGGAGGACCTTCCTGAGAGGAATGGGCTGCAGGTCTAGGTGAGGACTAGCCTTTCCCAGCCCCCTTTGGGAAGTTAGGCTGAAGGCGGTGCCCCGGATGTGAGGGCAGCAGGGCCACCTCCTTCCTGCCAGACACTCCCCACACTGCATGGAAACCCCTTCCCCTGCCACCCAGCCAGCCTGGGAACTGGGCAGGGGGCCAGCGCCAGCCGTTTGGTATTCTTGGGCGCGGGGGCTGCAGGCATAGCACAAAGGCTAGGAGAGAGAGCTGTGTGGAGGCCCAGCAGCGATCAAAAGAGAAAATGGGCTCCATAAAGGGTGCACTGCTTCTCCACTCCCCACCTTACCCCCAGGCCCTAATGACTGTGTACAGGGCTGAGCACGGAGGGGCTGGGGACCATCAGACCATGCAACTTGGCGTCCATCCTACATGAGTCCTTGGTGGGGTAGTGGAGCTGAAGTCAGGGACCCCTGTGCTTCTCAGGAAGAATGGAAGCTAGAAGCCAGGAGTTCCAGCCAGCCCCTGCCAGCCCCCTCCAGACCCATTTTTGCTTCTCTGCCACAAGCAGCTCTCCCTGGGCAGTTTTTTTTTTTTTGGGGACTTAGAGGCAGCGGGTAAGAAAGATCGGGAGCAGGTTGCTATGGTAACCGCCTCCTCAGTCAGGGGAGCTGTTGCCAGGGTAACAGGGAAAATGGAGAAAAAAGATGAGGGGGGAGGAGGTGTGACTTGTCACTCTAGCTTCCAGCCTGGCCCCTAACTTCTGAGTTTCTTCCCATCTTCTCCTACCTCCCCAGCTGCGTATCCTAGGCACACGCCTGGCAGGGTGGAGGACCCAGGTGGGTAGAGGTGCGCCTCAAGCTCGGCCTTCTCTCCCTTTGTTCTGCTCCTAGTCATGGCCGAGTACGGGACCCTCCTCCAGGACCTGACCAACAACATCACCCTTGAAGATCTGGAACAGCTCAAATCAGCCTGCAAGGAGGACATCCCCAGCGAGAAGAGTGAGGCGATCACCACTGGCAGGGCCTGGTTCAGCTTCCTGGAGAGCCACCACAAGCTGGACAAAGGTGGGGCGGGGGTGCGGGCGCCCTGCCACCGGCCTCTCAGGCACTCTCGGGCTCAGTCTGTCCAGCCAACGGAAAGGCACTCAGAGCTCCTGTACGTGCAGAGCACGCCCCTCTCAGCCCGGCGGGATGAGCGATGTGCTGACAGTCGGGGGCTACAGGGCAGCGGTCTTTCCATGCTTCACTGTGCCCCTTGTCAGCCAACAGTACCCCTCAGATACTGTGCTGTTAGCCCATGTGTAACAATGTTAAAATTGAAGTTGAAAGTGACAACATTTAAAAACAAAACCACAAATTCTAACATTTTCTTGCCCACTTTTAGAGACCATTGCTCTGGGAGAAGCAGTAGGGAGGCGCTGGTATTTAAGATGGCCCTGAAAGGCAGGTGGCATTTCAGAGCAGATTGAAAGGGGAGCGTGCTTGGCACAGGACCATAGTCACAGAGGTGGGAGTACCTGGTGTGTTGGGAAAAACAAGGGGTCCTGCTTAGCTAGACTAGGGCATGGGGTGTTTAGGGGCTGGAAAGGTAAGTTAAGGCCATGCTGTGCAGGGCCTTGGTGGATGGGGTATTTGACAGATGAGCGTCCTGAGGGCCCTTCAGAGACACTAGCAGGGACAGCACGGAGGGAGATGGAAGGACATGGCACAGTGAGGGGACTGCAGTCGTCAGCGGGAGGCCCCGGGAAGGTCTGAGGGCAGCGGCCCTCTGAGAACCGGCCGAGCCACAGCAACCATCCGTCCAGCCATGCCCGTGCCTTCTCTCGTTCAGGATTACGTTCTTCACTGGGCCCAGAATCTTCTCTGGGTCATCTAGAGATTCGACCCCTCCAGTCCCATGTGTGTTGTCAGCAAATTCTTTCTGATCCTTACTTGGAAGCAAAGTGGAAGAGGGACACGGTGGGTGTTGGGTATTTGAAAGCACAGTTAATTTTTCTATTCTCCCTCCCCCCAACACAGGACCTGCTATTTAACTTAAATCCCCCATTCTAAATCCATAATCTAGAAACTTCCCTGATCAGCAGCTGGTCCCTCCTGGGAACAGTCTGTACTGGCTTTTGATGCCTTAGCTCCCTGTTCCTGGCATGGCAGCCCCTCCTCCCAGTGCTGCCCTGTCCGGTAACTGGTGCGGACGGCTTGGCCTGGCTTCTGGAAGCCGACCCCTGCAGCCGAGCCCTTCCCCCGTCTCCTGCCTTCTCCAGACAACCTCTCCTACATCGAGCACATCTTTGAGATCTCCCGCCGTCCCGATCTACTCACTATGGTGGTTGACTACAGAACCCGTGTGCTGAAGATCTCCGAGGAGGATGAGCTGGACACCAAGCTGACTCGTATCCCCAGTGCCAAGAAGTACAAAGGTGAGAAGAGGCCATGCCTTGAGCATGCCCCTCTGCCCTCCCACTGATCGTCCTTGGAGTACTTGAATTCTGGGGACGTGGGATGCTCAGTAGGCCTGCCTGGTGCCTCCTGTGCCCTCCGTCCACGGACACGTCCCTTTTTGCCTCCAGACATTATCCGGCAGCCCTCTGAGGAAGAGATCATCAAATTGGCCCCTCCACCGAAGAAAGCCTGAGCAAGGGAAGAGGAGGAAGGTTGGACCTTCATCGGACCATTCCCTTCCCCCATCCTCCAGGGGAGGGGGCAAGGGCAACCCCCCAGCCTACCCACTTACTAACCTGGTCCTAACCCCCTTCCTGTGCGCGTGTGTGTGCGTGTGCGCACGCTCTGTCTGTCTGTGTGTCTAGCTCATCATGCTCCCCCTCCTTGTGAGGGGGTGGGGGTCAGGGGCTGGGGGGGGCTCGGTTCTCCCACTCTAGGAGGAGAGGGAGGCTGTTTCTATGCAAATAGAAATGGGCACATTCCTCCTTCCCTTTCCTTCCCGTTCCCCCACAACTCTAAAGTGTGGGAGCAGAAAGGACCTGTATTTCCCTACATTGAGGAGCTGAGGTGGGGGTGAGACCTGGGACAAAGGGGTGGGTCTCATGAAAAGCAGTAAGAGGGAAGGTGAGGAGGCTACCCAAGCCCACCTGGAAGGGGCGAAGGGAAGCCGGAGCCCAGTGTGTGCCCCCCCGTGCTGGCCTGGCTGAGTCGTCTCCAGCTGGCCCTCAGGTTGCAGGGCCTGGGCAAGCAGGTCCCTTTCTGCTCCCATCTCATGAGCCTATGATGGGTGGACCCAGGGATCCGAGAGGACCAGTGGATCCTATCCTGGCCCCAAAGTTTGAACCCTGCCAAGCACCCAGCATTGAGTACCCACCCCCACCTCTGCTCTGGAGAGCCTGTGCTGGGAGCATGCCCCACTGAGCCTGAGGGGGGTGAGGGCAGAGAGGGTCCCTTTCCCACTCCGTATTCCTCCTCAGACTGTTGCACATAGTGATCCCGAACTACAGAGGTTGGGGAATGGGATCCTTAGGTTTTAACTCCAATGCTGCCTCACCTCTTGGGTCCCAATGTGGTTACTGCAGGCAACCTTCCCTGTCTCCCTGGTCTAAAACACCCCAAGCCAGAAAGAAGGGAAGAAGCTAGGGTTTTTCTTTGCACTGATCCCATTCCACCTGGGAGGGCCATGGGAACCCCTCTCCCCCAACATCCTGGCACCTGGGGCTTGTGAACACCTGTCAGCCAAATCACTAGAGTCCAGCCAGCCCAGCCTCCCGCCTGTCCTGAGATGCCCTCTGCACCCCGACCGTGCTAACTGTGTGTACATATATATTCTACATATATGTATATTAAACCCGCACTGCCATGTCTGCCCTTTTTTGTGGTGTCTAGCATTAACTTACTGTCTAGGCCAGAGTTGGGGCCGGAGGGGAATGCTGCAGTGAAGGGAGGGGCAGAGTCAAACTGCCTCACAGTCAACAAAAAGAACTTTAAAAAAATTTACATTACATTCACTCTCAAGAGACTATTTAGAGAATGTTTTAAGTTAGGAGTCTTTAGGATGTGTGACCAAAACTTTAGTGGGAGGGGAGACCTGGCTTTGGAAGAGGCAAGAAGCCAGACTGGTTGGAGAGCACCCTCTACTCCCAGCCCAGCCCAGCTTGCGCGTCCCCTCTGGCCGCTGCCGCAGGTACCTGCCTTAATACATACACCTTGAGTACTCCAGTTTGGCCTTAAAGGACCTTCTCAAGTTTCCCAGCCCTGTCTGGCTTCTCCCTCAAAGCGAGAGAGACACTTGTAGAATGTGGGGAGGGGGAATGAGCACGAACTGTCCTTCCAGTCAGGGTATGTGAGGAGAGAGAGAGCAAGACAGAGTGAGAGAATGAGAGAATAAGGAAGCTTTCTATGAAAAGAGGAGAGAATGAGATGGGAGAAGGGAGACAGGATGTTTATTCAGCAGAGTCTAGTAATTTCTCTGTAAGGCAAAATAATCTAAGACTAACCTGCCCTCCCACCCTGTGTACCGCTGTGAGAGCCCCTATCTTGTGCGCCTCTATCTGCAGTGTGCACGGCCTTGTTCTAACCCTGGAATAAAGGTGACTGATTGTACTGTACCTGTACCTGATTCTAGAATTTCTGTGAATGGCCAGGATCTGGGAGCCTTTGAATGACTGGTAAGGGAGGGGGAGCTATATTTAGTCCCAAGCCCCCTCACTGCAGCCTGAAACAGAGGCTAGGAGAACACCCCTAGTGGGTAAGTACCCCACACCCCCTATCTCCTGAGTAGCACTGAGCTCTGAGGCCTATGCAACTTAGAAATCTCTAGCTGGCACCCAGGCACTGGAAATGTGGATATCCCAGACTGGACTTCCTAAAATCGTAACGAGGGCAGGGCTAGACACCTATGTTGAAGGAGCAAAAATAGCCCATCATGAATGAATGGCCCACATATCACACACAGAGTAGTCAGAAAAAAAAAAGCTTTACTGAGAGAAAATACACAACAAATTCCAGAGTGCATGGTTTTCGGCCCGCTCCATGCCCCCACCGGCAACAGGAACACAGACCCCTCGGTCCCCACACATTCCCCACCGCAGGGAGGAAGTGCAGCAGCTGACACGGGACTGAGGGCTGCTGGGAGAAGGGGCAGGAGGAAGGAGTGTCTGGGAATCCCATCCTTTCACTCTTCCCTTCCTTCCTGGCCTGCTCTAGTAGAATCTGACTGTCCCAGGACACAGAATTCCTGGTTGGGGGCAAAGAAATAGCAGCAAAAGCATTTAAGGGCAAGAATTCAGTTGGGACTTTAGTGACCAGTAGTAAGACAGATGTCCCTGCCCCAGCCACCTTAATCAATCCTTAGAGTAACAACTTGTCCCTCAATCCCAAGGTATCAAGAGGTGGACAAGGTATAAAGTCAAACCCAGGAGGTCCTTCCCAATGGAAGGTTGCTGGTGTGGAGTCAGATGGTTAAAAGAATCAAGCAGCTAAAGGTAAGGGCGGGGGGTGTGTCTTGCGTCACACACGCCCTAGGAGAGACGGTCTCCAGTGGCACAACCCTTTCCACCCACAGTTCCGTCAAGTTTTAAAGACGGGCCACTCTACTGGTAGAAGAGCCATCCTAGGAACCCCGAGACTTGAGGAGAAGCAGGAGATTTGAGGCAAAGGCTGAAAGTTTTCTGTTTTCTGAACCCTAAGACCGTGGCAGAAAACAGGGAAGGGCAGAAGTGAGAACTCCCCCCGTCTTGAGCCTCCTAAATCCTAAGGGGTGAGCCGCGACCCCCAGGGGCCGCACACAGAAGGTAGGATGGCCCCAGCCGTCACCCCCACATCATTACTCTCACTCAGTCTCTCCTGTAAGTCCCTTTATTGCAGTCAGAGGGAATATATATGTATTTAAACTTTGACAATAGTTTTAACATGATACATCCAAATTTGACTTGCTTTTTAATATATTTATAGATATAAAATTAGGCCTCTAACAGTGAGAGAGACAGGGAGATTGCTGCCACCAAACAACTTTCTTTTGTCAGTGACAGAAGAGGTAACTCCTTCCTATTCTTCCTCCACTTCTGCCCCTCCCCCCCGCCCCCAACCTCCCTCACCAGACCTACTATAGGGAGTGGTGGGGTGAAGGGAGGAAAGTGAAAGATACATAATCAAGTGCAAAACACTGTGAGAAATAGAGAGAACGAATGGGTGGGAAGGAAGTGAAGGGAGTGGGATGGTTGGGGCTCAAAGAACTTCCCAGAAAAAAAACAGGATCCTGGGATGGGGTTGGGGAGGGGTGGTGAGGGGGGAAACAAACTGTCAAAAAGGAAAACAAGGTCAAAAACCTAAACCAAAGAGAGAACGGCACCTCCACCACCCCCACTCTGGCCCCTTGGTACTGAACAGCTGGGTATCCCCCGACCCCCACCAAGAAACCAGGAAGCTTAAAGAAAAGAAAACCCCATTCCCTACCCCAAACCAGTTCACAAAATACACTCCAACCTCCCAAAAAAAGGGCTTTGGAGAGAGGCTATTTCTGCAGTCCTGTGCACCTCCCCACGAAACACTCCCCGCCAGGATTCAACTCCCACTTCTAGGTGCTCTCCGCAGGCTCGCTCCCTCTGGTTTGTCGTTCTCCTGGGTTGTCTTTTATCTAAAGCAAGAAGTCCAAAGTGCGTTTCTGCTGAGTGTTAAGGGCCTGGACAGGAAAGGACCGCCCAGGCAGGATGGGGCCGGCAGCCCAGCCCGCCCCTGCGGGGAGCCAGGCCTCAGGAGGGCATGCACTGCACGCGGTCGGGGCCCTCGTCCTCGTCGGAGGTGTCTGAGGAGCTGGGAGACTCGTCGGAATCTGCGTCCGTGGCCCCAGGCCCAGGTTCTCGCCAGCGCTGTGGGATGGCAAAGGCCTGTTAGTACCTTCCCGGGAACGAGGACAAGCCTGTTAGGTCTTCACTGTCACTCAGATGCCTAGGCCAGGAGTCTGCAAAATTTTTCTTAAAGGGCCAGACAGTAAATATTTTAGACTCTCGGGACATTAACTGTCACAACCCTTCAACTCAGTTGTTGCAGTGTGAAAGCAGCCACAGATGATACAAAAACAAATGGCTGTGACTATATTCCATTAAAACTTTGCTTACAAAACCAGGCAGCATACTGACTGCCACAGCTTGCTACCCTGCTCTAGGCCTCTTACAGGCCCGGCAGGTAAACAGAAGGGTCACCCTGAGGCTTAATTTCTTCTCAACTCCTTTCCCACCTCCATGCCTTTGCCTTTATGAAGACAGCGCTATGCACGCATGGCGATTGCGAACAAAAAGCAGCCACCACCCATTTCTGCTAGTGGTTCTTCCAAGGCTACAGCAGGGCTCTGATGGGAATGGGGGACAAGGGATAAGAAACCCAACCAAGACCACCTGCTTCCTCAAAGTAAGAAGGAAATGTGTGCCCTGGGGCATTCTGCCCTCTGGAGAGAATCCCTGCCCTTGAGAGCTCACTGCCCACTCTGGCCTACCCGGTGATGGCGTCTCTGTCTCAGGTGATGCATGAGGAACCAGAGCATGTGGCTGTCAAACAGGTCAGTGTGGTGCAAGCTGTCTTCATCCCGTTCCCGCTTGTTCTTCTTAATCACCTGGGATCAAAAGAGGGGTGGGGCCGGGGCTGGGTGATGCGCAAGAACCCTGGACCCAGTCAGAGAAGGCTGGCGTTCTGTCCCAGGAGAAACTTCCCCCAGGAGCTGTTACACTGAAGTGGAGCAGGTTTGATTAGGAAAGGATGTCCCAGGTTTATCCATTGAGAAAGTGGGATGTTTTCAAATAAAAAATGATGTCCTCTACTCCCAACTCTTCTATGAACTGGGAGCACTTCAAAGCTGCCCCCAGGACCTCTGGACTGGGGCGCTCCTGGAGAGGCAATGGCAGGATGTGGGAGACAGCGTTGAGCGCAGTGCCGTTAAAGAACTGGGCAGGTGATCCTTACGCCAATAAAGACTCCTAACAGCACATGGGTATCAGCAGTCAGCTACTTACGTCCTTTAACCCTGTAAGCTCAGTGGAAGTTTCAGCTGTGGGTGCCCAGATCTTGACATCATGGTCTAGGCCACTGGTTGCCAGCACAGGCAGGTGAGGGTGGGGCTCAAGACAATTCACCTGGTCAGGAGGAAAACAAAGCAGACTCAGGGGTGTGAGGGAACAGGGTCTAAAAACCACTTCTCACCTTGAGCCAAACAACTGTCCCCTATCAGGGCTGAGGCAGACGCTGGGAAGGCAGGCCCACCCGCCACGGGGCTTGGCCAAAGGCCCAGGGGCTGGAAGGGGCACCGGACACAGGCTGGTTCTCCGATCAGGCCCGTCTCGCATTTCCTACACTCAGGCAGGGATGGCCGCCTCCTCAGACACAGCCCAGCAGGGAGGAGGGGGTGACTGCGTTGTACTGCTGGCTTCACAAAAAGGCAACGAGATCCAAGCGACCTCATTCACTCCAGATTCCACAGCTCCAACTTGCCCAAGGCTGGAAAAAAACCATCTTGGTGGCTTTCACGAAATGGCAAATACATTTTTGAAAATGAAAAAAGTGGCAGCTGCTGCTGAGCCCCAGAAGAGTCAGGGAACAACTACATATACTGGGCACTGTTCACCAGAACTGGAGGCTGGGAAGAGGCTGACCTGGGGCTCAGCGGGATGTTGGAAGCACATGTCTGCTTGGGAGCCCTGCGCGTCCCAGGGGACGGTACCCTGCCACCTGCCCTGAAAGCGCAACAGGCTGAGCTCCAAGCTGCGTGGTACAGGAAAGCAGCCTCCAGGGGCATCCGCAGCCTGAGTCCTGCACTCTGCAGACAGCAGGCAGGCCAGCCTCCAGCTCAGGCAGCCTCCTCCGTCTGAAGGCACCTGTGCCCCCTGCTGTCTGACTTGAACACAGCAGCCTTCCAGAAGGCAGGGCGGGGCTGGTCCCAGATCTAGCCACAAAAGCATTTTTGGGCTCTTAGTCAGATGAGGAAAAGATAGGAAAGGCACCAGACAGAAGGTGTGGCCCCAACCACTCCTCATATCCCCCCTACCCTCACCTTTCCGCTGCCTTACAGTCCAAGAAAAGCTCCACCAGCAAAAAAGCCTTAGTTCTCTTCGAACCCACCTTGTCTGCCTTGCCTAGAGAGCAGCTGAGAAGCTGGGGCTGGCAGGGAAAATAAAACTGACTACAGACTTCCAATCTCCTTTGTCTTCTATTTTACAAGTAAATAAATGCTCAGAAGAGACTGAAGCTAAGTTTGAGCTTAAGAGTAAAGCAGAAGCCACATTTCCCTTCTTCTCTCCCTCTACATACGCAAAGTTTCTATTTGGCTCTTTTAGGCGGTGTGGAAGAGGTTCCAGCAGGGAAGCATGGGAGCAGGAGACCCCACTGCCTGGGAAGACGCAAAACAGAAGGTATGCTACAACTTACACGTACTGCCCTGTTCTCATTCACCCAAGTCCTGATGAGCCCTTACTACCCCTCTACTCTGACCTAGCTCTTCCTGAGTCAGTCAGTAAAATAAAAACGCAGGGGAGAAATTCCTTGGAACTTAAGACTAATGACAAAGCCAGCCAATGGCAAGAGGGGCAACAGAGTAAGTTGCACACGATACCTGAGTTGGAGCCCACAGCGGGAGCCCACACAGCTTCTGGGCCAGGGTACCTAGTCACTTCACCACACCTGTCCGCATGCCAGGACTGACCCTGTCAATGACGCCTGAGCGAAAAAAAAAGCTCTGGCCTTAGATGTCTGGTCTGGGGAATGCGGATGGGATGAAGCAGCAAAGTGCTTTTGGGAAACTAAAGATTACCCTCTGGCATCACAGCCCGCCAACCCACCGCCCCCAACCCTTGTTCCTACACGGGAAGAAAGTACTAGAGTTTGCACCAAAAACAGTCAGGAGACCTGGGCATGGTGGACAACACTACCTAAGATCCCTTCTGGTTCTAATATTCTACTTCATGATATAAAACTGCTATGAGTCTGCATTGAGACTGGTGCTTGGTGACCCCACTGTTGGAAGGTTAGGACAGAAAAACAGAGGGAGCCAAGGGAGGACCCCACGGATCATTCGAGTCTCACAGAAGCAACAGGAAGACAGGACTCGTTTCAGGGCGCAGTCTCTCTACCTGCTGTTCCAGTCCCTCACTCTCAGGACTACTGAGACTCAGGCCTGGGGCCCACCTTCCCAGGCACTTGCCCTCACTACAGGAGCATCTGGATTCATCAGCAAACCCCAATACCAGCTGAGCTGAGTGCAAACTGGCCTGCAGGGTGGTTTTGGAGATTGGACAAGTGCTGGCCTGGGAGAATACTGACTTAGCCATCCACCTCTTCGCAACAGAATGCAAGACAGCAGCTTATGATCGAGAAGGGATTCACCAGCCCCTTGTGACTTCCTTCTGACTACATGCCTACTGCAGAATTCCCACTAAGACGCAGGTGACTCAGGTCTGTTTCCTGCAGATGACAGAAGAGGACCTATGGAGGAGCAGGAAATGAAGAAGGCAACAGCGAGACCCACCTTCAAGTTCTAAACTCCTCTCCACTTACATTCAGGCCACAGAAGCCTACATCTATACTGGTTCCAGGTCTCCAAGATTTTTAGGAAACCTGAAGAAAATGTGAAATAGCCTCACACCTGGGCAAGAAACATATAAGAAGGAATGGGATCTCAATTGCACAGAACCATTCTAAATTCTAACACCTTTCTCTGGATAAACCTCATCATGAGATGACTGAGCTTCTGGAGCTTCTCACAGCTTAGAAGGAATGGAAAGGAGAGACACCAAGCAGTCTCAGCCATTCCTTAGAGGCTCTTAACCAGACTATCCTGGGTAGTCAGATTAATGTAGTTTACCAAACTATCCCTTTCCTATCTTCTGCAGTCCAAAAGCAATAGAAAACTACTAAATTCCTTCCTGGCTCTAGCTCAAAAGAGAGAGAGAGAAAAATTAAGGTTAGCTGGATACATCTCAAGAGCTAAATCATGATCCTCATGCTTTGATTCGCCCTGTCTCGGTGGAGGCTATCTGCACAATTCAAAGGACAGACGATCCAAAAAAAATGCTCCTTCCAGCTTGTATCTGCAGATCCAGGATCTAGTCCAGACTGCTACATAGTTACTCAGAAGGGCTAAGAATAAGGACATCTTGAGCATTGTGTAGAATGGTGGGCCCTGAAGTCCAACACCTCTTTCTTAGAAAAGGTTCGTGCCTAGGGATATCTCACTCAGGCCAGAAGTACTTCCCTAAGCTCCCTTTTCACTTCTCAATGAATCACGCTGTACAGGGCCCAAGGACAGGAAAAGGAAGGAAATATCCCTTCAGAACTGCAGCACCCTAGACTCTACTGCCTTTTAGTTAGCTGGCTAAACCTCTAAGACGAGGTGTCATGCTGTCACTGTGAGAAGTCAGTGGCCCTTGATGACGGGACACAGTAGGAGCCAGCGGGCCCAGCACACCGTACTCACCACGCCTCCCTTGTCCCCCTCCATGAACTGAACGATCTGGCAGGATGATTTCTCCCAGAGGAAGACATGCCCACAGTCACTACCGCTCACCACAAACTCACTCTTGGGGCCATAGAAATTGACGCCTTTTACTGAAATGACAAATGAGGGAATAAACCACATTAGAGTTGGCATGAGGCCTATATACATATATATATTTCATAAGGAATTTAGCTATTCACCAACTCTTAACCAGCTAGGAGCCAAAGAATTCCTTTCATGTTCACAAAACAGGTCAGAGATTACGCACATGTGGCAGTTAAACAGAATCCCACCCGTCCCAGGCACTGCTCGCACTCCCCCGTAAGCCCGCAGGCAGGTGTGTGCAAGCCCTCCGCAGCAGCCCAGGCTCGGTGTACGCCCCACCAGGCAACCACAGGCCTCAGGACCGCCACACTCGCCCCAGCTCTGCCCACCACCAGCCAGCGCCGCCCTGTGCCCTAGAACCATCCCTGGGCTGTGTGCCCTGCCTGTGCGTCCCGGGCCATCAGCTGGCCTGAGCTGACAGAGGTGTGGGCCTCGTGTGCTGGTGGGAGGCACCTGAACTGCGGCTGCTGCCACCACTCTCGAAAACACGGCTCCCGTCTGGCTTTAGTGAGAGAAGCCAGGAGCCAGGCTCTCAGTCACGGCGGCCATCTGCTAGGCGGCAGCACAGAGAGCAGTGATTCCCCAACTTCTTGGAACATTACAATCACATCAGGGGCTTTAAAAAACCCCAATCAAGTCACACCCCATTCCCACGGGATCAGAATGCCTGGAGTTGGGAGCTGGCTCTGGGGGACTGTCAGGTGACCCCACTGAGGAGCAAAGTTTGGGAATCTCAGACAGAAGAGAAGAGGCCAACTGCACTGCCAACTCGGGTGAGGGACCATTACCTCTCCTGCTCTTCTGCCTCCTTCAAAAGAATAATTTCCTCCTCCTCCCTGGAGATACAAGCTCACCACCTATTTTAGACTAAGGAGGACTTTCCCAACTCCCTAAAAAGCCTTTTAAGCCTGAAGTTACCTGAAATCATATGAAAAAACATAGTCCATGTGGTATCCCTATGATCAGACCAAGGGACATTCCTTCGGCGGGGAGATGCTGCTGCGCCCATCTCCTCAGCAGAGCAGGCCCGTGACGGCTCCAGCTCGTTTAGGGGCACCCTCTCCCTGCCCTCGGTGACAGGCAGCCCACTCCCAATGAGGTACTGTGGTTCTCTAAGCCAACACACTGGGGCTCCAGGGACCCAGAAAGACAGTCTCACCTGTAGCGTTATTTCTGTGGCCCTTGTATTTCTTAACATACTGGGCCCCGTCACTGTGAGAGGAGTTGAAGAGGTAAATGTCTTCATCATTGTAACTGGCCAGGAGCTCTGCCGAGAACAAGCACACAGCAGTGAAGGCAAAGGCTGAAAAAGGCTGGGATCAGGAGTAGGGAGTCGGGGAGGGGCTTCCTGCCAGTGGTGCCCCCTCCTAATACCCAGGTATAGCGCCCACCTTACTTAGTGGAACAGCAGGCAAGTGAGGTGTCTAGGGTGGCCTAGGAGCACGCTGCCAACCCAGGGGCAGCAGAATGCTCAGGAAGCTCAGCCCCGTTAACTCAGGAGTAAGTCAAAGGCTTAAGAACCTGCTCAAGCAAGCAGCCTGGGCTGCAGGACAGGCCCTGCCAAATATCATTCGCAGCCCTCTGCAGTGGCGCCTGCCTGGCATCTCCAAGGGTCATCGGCTGCAGCCTCCCGCTGTGTGCTCACCATCAGCAACTACTCCCCAGCTGCTCCACTCGGAGACATAGCACAGTGGTGAGCACTGGAGGGCACACACCTGACTGGCCCAGCAGCTCCCTAGACAAAGGGGGCATGCCAGCCTCGGAGCTGGGCCCTGCTCACGTACCTGTGCCGTCGTGGCTGTACACAAGACAGGTGATGTTTGCTTTGGACTCACTGTTCACCTGCAATAAGGAGCAGATACTGACTGATGCCCCACCCCCCCATTTGTTATACCACCTTCAGGAAACAGGCTTTCCTTCAAACTCCCCTGTATCTTCTCCCAGACAATCAGAGGGAGAGAAAGACAGACAGACAGACACAGGAGCACAACCAATGAAACGTGACCACCTCAGTGGGGGAGAGAGCTTTCTGTTGGTTGTCTTCTGTAAGCTGGCCATTTAATATACACGTATCTCATTAGGCCTTATCAACACGGTGCAAGGCAGCTATCTTTATGTCTGTTTGGCCGGTAAGAAAACTGAGACTAACAGAGGTGAGCTGACTGCCCAAGACCACCAAGCCAGTAAGTGGTGGAGCCAGGATTCAAATCCAGGTGTCTGACTCGAAAATCCAAGCTCTTCCCACCATACCAACAAGTCTGGGGGCAGCCTTGGGGTCAAGTCAGGGAAATCTGGAGCCATCGGCCCTTCATGACTCTTACCAGGTGATGAGGACAGAATTTCTTGAGGACTCCATTGTTCTCATTCTCATCAATTTTCCTCTGGTCATAAATCCTGTGATAGAAGAAGCGATCGAAATGTCCAAACTTACAAACGGATCCCTTGAAGAGTTGTAATTCAATGTAGGGGCAGAAACAGCCATCAGGGGGACAGCAGGATAAAGGGCAGTCCCCAGAAAGCTTCTGCCTCAAGCTCGTCCCTGAAGGCCCTCCTCTTCTCCCTCCTTTCCAAACCCTGACTCTTTTATCCAGATACTTGCCATCTCAAGTGGTAATACACTGCGCTTCAAAGTGGCTTCTCTCCTCTCTGTAAGCTATAAGCTTTTATAGCACTTAATGTTTATTTCACTGAAACATTATTACAGAGCTTTTTCTGTGCATTTCACCTCCCCAATAGGGTTTTATTACTCATGTGCAGAGATGATGCTTTATGTAAGTCAGGGGGCCTTCAGTCCCTTCTTGAAGTCTTACTGGCCAGAAGTCCCTTTCATACCCCACCGTAACTATCACAAACCACATCTCTGTCTCCTTAAGTCTCCCTCTCTCCTTCCTTCATTCCTCCTAGGCATCAAACTACCTTCACCTTCTCTCATCTCTCCAAACTTTAACCATTCGTTCACTTATTTATGACACATACATTACATGCCAAGTATCATGCTAGGAGCTGGAAATACGGTGAGGAACAAGGCCAATCCAGTCCCCCTCCTCCACCACCAGTCCCCTCCCATCTCAGGGCCTCATCTTTCCGAGGACCTTGTCTGATTGATTAGCCCATTTCTCAACCTCTTCCTCATCACTATCTTCCCATTTCCTAAAAATCTTCTTTTGACTTTTTTTTGTCTTTTCTGTCCTTCCCCTTGCAGTCAATTCCTGAAAAGAGCAATCTGCATTCAGTGTTTTCACTTCCTCTTCACTTCTCAATCCATTCCAATCCCCCTCTGGTCCTCGATCCACTACTGAAACTTCTCTGGCTAAAGTTACCAGTAACCTAACTGCTAATGCCAAAAAGATGCTTTTCTGGCCTATCTTGTCCTGATATTATTCATTACTCCTTCCCTGAAACGCTCTTTCCTTGATGTCCAACTACTCCTTAATGTTATTCATGGGCTCGTATTTCTTTGCCCACCCTTTCCTGCTGATGCTCCCGGAGGTTTGGTCTTAAATTCTCCCGACTCTACATAAGCAAATTTTAACGTAGAGTCCAGGTGGTAGGTATGTGAACGCCCGGGAACTGAGCTAATGTGCTTCTTTTCCAGGAAGAAGGACCAGAGACTCAAAATATTCTGCTCTAGTCTTCCTTTTGGTAACCAAATTCTATCACCAATGCTTTCATTACCACTTATATGTAAATATATGTCTCCTAAATCTATGTATCCAGCCCACAATTCCGAGCTCTATACTTTTATCTACTGCCAATTGGATGTGGTCATGGGATGTCCAAAAGTAAACTCATTCTAAAATTAAACTCATTACAAACTTACCCCCTTTCCCCTGAATCAGATGGGCAAACCAGAAATCAGGTCCTTTCTCTAATATGAGAAAGTTAATTTCTTTCCTGTCAATTTGGTATATCTGACTGTACCTGCTTTCTCCACCCTTAGTCATTTTTTGCCTGCAATATTTGTACTGTCCTTCTGATTTCCTTGCTCATACTGTTGCCAGAGTTATGTCTAAAATGCAAACTTTTCTGTAAATTCCCTGCTTAAATCTCTTCAGTGATTTTGTACTTCCTACTAAATAACTCCTTTTTATAGCTATCACTTCTCAAAGGTCCTATACATTAAACAAAAGCCAAACAGCAACAAAAGGTACACTTCCTTGAACATACCATGTCACAACTCATTAATACTTTTGCACATTACTGTTCCCTCTTCTGGAGATACTAATTTCCTATTTGTCTTTAGTATTTCCTCTGTGAGAAACAACAGTATAGTGAAATGGTTTCCACCATATTTAAAGAGTCTGACCTGAGTTCCAATACTATCTCTGCTACTTACTAGATGAGCAATACTGGATAAGTTACTTAATATTTTTTATCCTTACATACCAGTTTCTCCAGAATGCTCCTTGAAGGCAGAGACCATGTTTAGCCAAGTGTATATCTAGCAGATGCTTAGTAAATGCTGGATGAATCAATGAATGAATCTGTATTTGTATTCTCCACAATCCCTTGCTTAATATCCTGCATAAAAAGAACACCCAGGAACTGTCTGCTAAATGAACCCCCCCAAAAGAAGACAGTAAGTAGGAGACTGCTACACTATCAATTACTATTCTTCATCAAATATAGCAGCTGATAATCAGATTTCTTTCCCTCTAAATCGAATCTAAATCAACAGCTCTCAAATGCCACTTCATGATGTCTTGAATAGCCATCATAAATTTCACAAGTCAACATATTAGTAAAAAATATTTAAATATTCAGTATTTTTGTGTGTGGACTATTCTGTGTTCCTCAGTCATCTCCTTTGTCCTTCTAAATGAGGAAATCCTTACCTTCCTTCCCCTTTCTCCTCTAAGTATTTATTAAGAACCTTCTATATTATAGATATGATGCTAGACAAGGGGTTGGCAAACTTTTCCTCGAATGGCAAGATAGCAAATATTTAAGCCAGCAAGCCATCCGGTCTCTGCTCCAGCTGCTGAACTTTGCCACTGTAGCATTAAAGCACCATCAATAATATACAAATGAATGGCCACAACTGTACTTCAACAAAACTGTATTTACAAAAACAGGTGGTATAGTTTACCAACCCCGTGCTAGACGTGGTGATAAAAAGATGAACACAAATTTTTCGTCTATTTTCTGAATGTAGGAGAGGGCCTTGACATTAGAAAATTTTTTTTTTTACTTTACTTTTTAGTTTTCAGTTTTTAAGAAAATTGAGAGGGTGGTACAGAGACTTCCCACATACTCCCTGCCTCCAGATGCATAGCATCCCTCTGGAATAGTACTTTTCCTTTTCTTTCCTAACCAAGGATGAACCTAAATCGACACACCACCACCACCTAAAGTCCACAGTGCACCTGAGCAGGTTCACACTTGTACATTCTATGGGTTCGGACAAATGTACAATGACATGTATCCACCATTACAGTGTCATACCGAGTATTTTCAAATCCCGAAACACCCCCTGTGCTCTGCCTACTCATCTCTCTCCCACCACCCGCCCCTGGCAACCACTCATCTTTTTATTGTCTCCATAGTTTTGTCTTGGAATGTCGTATTGCTGGAATCACACAGTATGTAACCGCTTCAGATGGGCTTCTTTTCACTTACTAATACGCATTTAAGGTTCCTCCATGTCTTGATAGCTCATTTCTTTTTAGCCCTGAATAATATTCCATCATCTGGATGTAACACAGTTTATTCATTCACCTCATGAAGGACACCTTGGTTGCTTCCAAGTTTGGGCAATTATGACTAAAGCTGATATAAATTGCCATGTACAGGTTTCTGTGGGAACACATTTTCAACTCCTTGGGATAAATACCAAAGAGTGTGACTGCTAGGTCATATGGTAACAGTATATTTAGTTTTGTAAGAAACCGACAAACTGTCTTCCAAGGTAGTTGTATAATTTTGCATTCTCACCAACAACGAATGAGAGTTCCTGCTGCTCCAGGAATACTCATGAGCATTTCATGTTGTCAGTGTTCCAGGCTTTAGACATTCTAACAAGTGTGTAGTGGTATCTCATTGGTTTAATATGCATTTTCCTCATGATATACAATGTGGAGCATCTTTCCAAATACATTACTTGCCATCTGTATATCTTCTTTGGTGAGGTGTCTCTTAAGGTTTCTGGTCCATTTTGTAATTGGATTGTTTGTTTCCTTAATGTTGAGTTTTAGGAGGTTTTTTGTGTATTTTGGGTAACAGTCCTTTTTCAGATGTGCCTTTTGTAAATATCTTTCTCCCAGTCTCTGGCTTGTCTTCTAATTTTTCTTGATGCTGTCTCTTTCACAGTGCAGAAACTTCTAATTTTAATGAAGTCTAGCTTATCAGTATTTCTTTCATGACTCAAGTCTTTGGCATTGTCATTAAAATGACATCATGATACCCAAGGTCAATAGGTTTTCTCCTATGTTATCTTTTAGGAGTTGTATACAGTTTTGAGTTTTAGTTTTAGGTCTCAGATTCACTTTGAGTTAATTTTAGTGAAGGGTGTTGTATCTAGATTCATTTCTTTATAGGTGACTGTCCAATTCTTTTAGGACCACTTGTTCAAGAGACTGTCTTTGCTTCAATTATTCTTTTGTCAAAGATAATCTGACTGTATTTATGGGAGTCTATGTCTGGGCTCTCTATTCTTCTCACTGATCTATTTTGCCAATGTAATACTGTCTGGGTCCCTGGAGCTTTATATAGTAAGGTTTAAAGTCAAGAAGTGTCAGTCCTCCGACTTTGAACTTCTCCTTCAATCCTGCGGTTGGCTGTCTGGCTCTTCTGTCTCCATACAAACTTTAGAATCAGTTTGTCCATATCCATAGAACAGCCTGCTGGGATACTGACTGGGACTGCAGTGAATCAACAAGTCAAGTTGGGAAGAAATCCTATCTCCACTGAGTCTTCCTATGCCTTTGACATTTTTTACTTTTTTTTATTAAGGTATCACTCCTTCACATGAAAAACATTGTGGTTACTACAATCACCCATATTATCAAGTTGCCTTTGACATTTTAAATCAAATAAATGGTTTCAGCCCTGTCTTGACACCCTTACTGCATCTCTCTCTCCACAGGCCTTCAGGTACCCACTAACCTGTGACCTTAAGCCTCTCTCTTCCCTCCTTCCCTCCCTTCCCCGACCTGCCCTTAATCTAGTGTTTTCTCAGTGTGCTGATATCAACCTAAGAATAAGGGAGAAAGGGGACTAATTATTTACTATCTTATGAACTAGGGCATACCCCAAATCCTTTAGCAATAAATGTATATGTCAATCAATCATACTACCAAAGCTACCACCACAGGACTAATTTTATCTGCTACATCTCCTATTCTTCACTCCTATTCTTAAGCAAACCAAAGCAGGATTTAATAATAGGGACTCACACCTCCATCACCTCCACTTCGCTACTTTTTTTCCTCCCCTTGCTCTCCTCCCCCACTTTTTTTGGTTGTAGGCCAAAAAGTCTGTCTCTCTAACATTTCCCTTAAGTTAGGCTTCTTTACAACCCTAAACAAAAATTCAGTGTTCATAATGCAAAAGCCTTGAGGATGAGTAAGCTGTTTGTTTCTCTATATTTCCTTGTAGAAATTCTTTCAGGCTAGGAGTGAAAGTTAATGGTGTTATAAAATATTCAGCAAAAATATTTTCAAATGTGTACTAGAAGGTGAGCTCTTTAGGTTCTTTCAAAGAAACAATCAGACAGGGGAAATCCCAAAATATTCAAGTGATGAAGTGACAAGGTGCCAGAGAAACTGAGGCTCATCCCAGCATCAGAGAAAAGCTGGGGTGCTGGAAAGGCCATCTGCTCATGCAGGATCAGTGCACCTCAAAATCTACACATGCTTCTGCTAAGCTAATAAATAGCCTGTACCTGCTGACAATTTGGGATATACAAAGGGACAGAGGATATTGGAGCTGATATCCATAAAACCTGAGTATTTCTCTTTGTGCTGAAATGCTAAAACTAATTTCCAGCCCCACTCTAACCCTGGGAAGGTTATCAGCTTTGGATGAAGGCATTATCAACCGAAACTCCTAACAGTGAACTCCTTCAAACATTAAGGTCTTGGTGGTTGAATTACCTACAGATACAGACTTTTCATGCAATCCAGAGCTCCAGCAGGAAATCCAAATCAGAAATTTCAATAAATGCTTGGTTTGGAGGGGGGAGCACCTGGAAGTTCTGACAACCCACAACCCTCTCTGATCAACACTTTTCTTACTAAAAAAATATCTACTGCTACATATTTGCTATTGGTGAATAGAGGAAACGAGTTTAGAGGGCAAGGGAAATGGGAAGAGAGTAACAAAGTTGTCCAGTTCTCTTGAGGCAGGATTCTTCAGTAAGGTAAGGTCATCTTCTCATGTATTCTAAAAAGTCTATCCCCATTACTCTTACTAATAAAACTTCAGAATACAATTATAAAAATGTGCTTATCTAATTTAAAAGGAAGATAATGCTTTTCACCCACCATCAAGAAAGCAAAAAGTCACTCATTTTTCTAGTGATCCTCTTCCTCCTGACTTTCAAACTGACGATCCCTTGGCAACTGAAGAAATATAGTTAAAATAGGCCAACAGGGTAGGGATGGGATAGTTTGTGACTAAGGGTCAGAAGAAAACTAACTGGTATGCATGGGGACTAAATCCATGAACTCTGACTTCCTTAAGATAAACCTCAAGAGCCAGTGCTACCACAGATGTTCACAATGACAAAGACATCACTACAGATAAAGAAAAGTGGTTCAGGACAGCAGAAGCCAAAACCCTTGTCCACACTGAGCACTTCCAAGTCAAATCACTTCTGTAGGCGAAATGAGCATTCAAAATTTTCATGCATTTAACTTACCTATGAAAAATGGTGGAAGTATTTACTAATGCTAAGTTTGTGCCTTGCTGCTATGTGGGAACCCTGGTCAATTCATTAAACTTGGTCATCTTTATATGTGGAGCCATCATCCCTCAGAGACTGTTACCTTAGGAAACAGAAAGCCTCAGAAGGAGCTTAACCTCTCTGGAAGAGGGCAAGACATTCGAGATGGTGGCTACTGGACTCTTAGGCAATTCATACCTTCCCACAAGGGACGCCTGGTAGTACACAATGCAGCAGAGTCTGAAACTCTCCAAAACACAAAAGAGCCACAGACTCACCTTACAAACTGATCTCGTCCACCCACTGCAAACTGATGGGTATTGGCAGGATTCACATAGATTGTATACAGCCCCACTTTCTTCTCCTTTTCTTTTGTCACCACCAGTTTCCTTTAAGGATAGAAAAGCATGTAAGTTATATTCTTCAGAAGATCGAGGTGGTCAGGGGGAGTCAGAGAGAGTAATGCAGACAGAGCTATTAAGAAACCAGATTCTCACTTGGAAAGAAAGAAAAAAGTGGTTTTGCTTGTTTTGAACACTGGAACAAGAAAAAGACCAAAAACGCTCCAGACTGATTCATTAAATGCTATTCTGGGGATGGAAAAAAAACCCATGTAATGCAGTCATCTTCTGGTGTTCAAGAATTGTGTAAGTTACAAAGTGTATGAGGCACTGCTCTTCAGGCAGCCTCAGCTTGGCTGGACCCAACATGACGTTAACCAATCATTTCACAGACAGTACCATCCACGTCTTCCCATCCTATATTTAGAAATACATCTTCCCAATCATCTGGAAGCAGGGAACAAGGGGAGGATGAATCAGAAACGGGCCAGAAAAGACCTTAAGGTCAGAGTCTTATCTCCTAGTTTTAAGTATCACTTGAAACCCAGCTTTAAAAATGTGCACTAAAAAAAATGAGAAGCCACAGTTTTCCAGCGTAGGAGCAATCCAAAGGAAAACAGTATTCTTCTTCCCCTATCTGAAGCAAATTAGGAGAGGAGGTTCTGATGAAGAATGCCATTTTGAAGGCTGAAAAATTGTTTCTAAATTATGGTTCTGGTTGTACCATAAATAAGCTGATCCTTAGGAGGCCATGGGGCCTTCAGGAAACCCTGTGAGATTTCAGAATTTTAGCTGATGATTCTGACCGAATAGCCATAATTTGTATCAGCTTAAGGCTGACACTATAAATACTCTTCCCAGATCTGAGTGTACAACCAGCCACATAAGATATTACAGAGATTGGTAAATTGACAGGAAAGGAAGGGGCTGGGCTGTAGCTTTTGTTTTTAATTCTAAGGTTTTGTTCATTTCTGTTGCTATGTAAACTGAAAGAAATATAACCACGATGAGCTTCTTTGTAAAGAAATGACTTCAGCATCTTCTCTGCATGCTTACAGTCGCTCCAACCTAGAACTGCCCTGGGCAAAGTGGAGACATTTTACTGGATTTAAAATTCTCTGCAGAGATTTTATTTTCCATTAAAACAGTGTACAGGGGTCATTAAAAATGAATGTCATTAGAGAAAACCCACACACAACCTTCAAAAACACAAGGAAGAAACGTCAAAAAAAGAATTTAAGGAACAATAGTATCAATGGAGAAGAGGCAGCTCTCGGCAGGTTTAGACACGGAAAAGGAGCGGGAGCAGGTGTTGCTCCCTGTCACGGGACCATCTCATCTCCTCAGCGATCTGCATTTTCAGGAGAGGGTCAAACACAAAAGTTACCATGTGGAAGCAAAATAAAGAAACTGAAGAGATAGATTATGCAGTTGTGGCTCCACTATCATGCAATCCTGACGAAGATCTCGATGTTTCTAGTCCTCAATCTATTCATCAAAACAAACAATTCTGTGAGCTCTTTGGGGAACATGCAGAGGTGCTATAAAAATGACTAATCAAGGCCAGGGGGAAAAAAAGAGAAAAAATATTCACATCAGAGGGAGGCAGCTCATGAAACCATATGAAACAAATTTCACCAAATTTTGTTCTAAAATTTGCAGTTTTTTCATGAGCAGACATGTTCCAGGAAAAATAATTACAGATCAGACCAAAGGATTTGGCTGAAGAATATCTCAAACTAGCATCCACTGCCTAAAGGAATATATCACCCACAGCTCCTAACCCAACTCTTCTCCTAAGATGTTAGCCAATTTCACAGGCTTCCAGAGACTCAGCCATCATATATACACAGAAGAAAAATTCCCCTAAGCCAATTTCACACAATATGCCTCTGATACAGGCACCAGCTTAACACATAAAGATTGCTTGGATTTTCTGGCCATGACCTTCCCACTTAGTAGTCCCCTACCTCATTCCAACCTTCTAGTAATTCTTCAAACCCTAAAGCAAAAACTTTTTGGAGGCTCATGGTCTCTCATCCCCCGAACCCAGAATAGAAGAGGGCCTCCTCCTCTTACAGTAAGTTTCTCCTACGTTCCCCCTTTTCATTTCTATCCACCTATCACTGCTTGCATCTAGACCCACCGGTCAACTCAACCAGATTTTCTGCCTACGTCATTACATTCCAAATTCAATAATCTACTTAAGTCATCTGGTCCTCCCACTGCTTGAACCAGATTTCCGATTCCTTGTGGCCTAGCAGACCTTTGTGGATCTGACTGTGACCCACAGGAGAAGAACTCGGTCTGCTTCACGACTCTCTACCAGAGCGGACTAAACAAGCTCGTATCATTTTTTATGTCTTTGCCCTTCCCCTGCCCTCTTTAGAACCTATTTGTGTTTCATTATCATCACAAAACCATGGAACGTCAGCACTGAAAATAACAAACATCGTTCAGTTGGAAAGTAAGTTATTTTCTCAAAACTAGGTAACTGCAGGCTAGGCTAGTACTAGAATACAGATGCCTTGTCACCCAGGCCTGTTCCTCTTCCAGTATAAACCCATTAAATCCCATTATCCATCCTTTCCACAAGCCTGAAACTTTTCTCTTTTAAGCAAACTTTGAAATTCTTCCTCTTCTTTTTCTATACTTATCTCTCTGTAGTTAAAAGTCTAATAATAATCTGCCTTAAGATTATATTCCCTAAATTACGTTTTACTTGTATGCTATGTAAATGAGTGACACTCTTATTATATATTGATATTGACACACAAGATCTGTCATAATAATTAAGACAAGACAAATAATCTAGAAAATCCATCAACAAGGTGGTAGTAAATATGTGGTCCACCAATGCTATGACATACGTCATAGTTGAAAAACGAAATAGGTCTTTATGGTCTGATGTACAAAGATCTCCATAACACATAATAAATTGAAAAAAGCAAACTGCAGAAACATAATGTGTGTGTTACGTATATATATAACTATCCCACTTACAGGGAAAAGTATATATGTATATACTAAGATACATATATACAAAAAAGATTGGAAAGATGTTCAAAAATCTTAACAATGGTTACCAACAGGTAGAAAAGTGGGGAAGTGGGCATGAGGGTGTGTTTGTATTTTGTCCATATACTTCATTATTTAATTTAAAACAAGTTGTGTTTATTCACTGTAAGAGAAACAAAAAATGAAAAAAGAAAACTAAATAATTAGTAGCTACAATTTTATCAGTCCCAACCATGGTGCCAGACACTATGTTGGGGCTTCAAATACATTTATCAATAATCCTCCCAGAAACCAGAGAGAGAGAGAGAGAGGGAGAGAAATTAACTGATTATGCCCATATATCATCAAGTTATTACAGCCCACCTGTAACTGAAACTTGCTTTAGAAATGAAGGTAGACTGAATAGCATTTCACTGCTGACAAATCACAACAAAGGGCTGAGGAATCCCCCTAAACCCCAGCCTGCTTCTTATCAGAGGCACAAAGGGATGATTCTAATGGGCCGGAGTTGAGCATTACCTGGGACCCACGGTGTATCGAATCCAGTTCTGTAAAAATACTATTGCTATACTTACGAAGCTGGCCGGTCTTGTCTGAGGTCAATGGTGAAGACAACTGCATCTTCACCTGCAGACAGGAACGTACATGGAGAGTCTGGTTCCAGGGCCAACTGAGGGAGAAAAAGGGAGGATATGACTTTAAAGATCAGAATTAGAGGTCATCTGGTTCATTCCCTTATCTTTAGGAAGAGCTTCATTTAAAATGTCTCCACAAGAGAAACATCTACTGTTTTGTTGTAAAATCTGAGGATAGGAGAAAATTTAATAAGCCCATTCTCTTACTTTGAGTGAATTATTTTATAGCATAAACATACTGTTTATTCTATACAAGTCAAAAGGAAAGGTGATTTTCTATTTCAACTAAGTTCCCAGGGGATCTGAAAAGTGATACCAAAGGAAAATAACCACTGGGGCTCATTCTCAAATACAACCAATCCTACACCCTCAGGTGGGGAGAGAAATGGTGCCCAAATTGCATTCCCTACATTTTAGTTCCAAGTATTAGTTATCTAGTGGGTTGGGAATAGGCCTAAGAATCAAAGAAACAGGCAATTTTCGTATTTCCTAAGCCACGTGGGCTAGAAAAGGTCCACCTACCTATTTGCTTAGGATTTGCAGCACCATCCTCTTTCCATGGCACGGGAGAACACAGTGCCTACTCTGAAACCAGGCAGCTCTTAGCTCCTCACTGGCTACCGCCATGACTATTTGGCCTATATTGCCAGCTCTAAATAGGGCTTCCAGAAATAGTGTCTGTGTGCTGAGAGCTGAAAGCAGGAAAGCTGGAGCTCACACAGAAGAGGAGCCAACCACTAACACCATGGAGCTGTTAAGATGTCCTAAATACAGTCAGAGTAAATTTAAAGGGCTTGGAAGGCACAGGAGACCTCAAGGGTCTCCAAACCAACCATAGTTCAGCTCAGGGGTTAGGAGTAGTCAACTGAACGCTGCAGGTGCAAGACCTAGAGACCTCTGCCAAGAAGTTCAGGATGACTGCCTTTTCTCCCTCATCTACAAATCTTAGCACTCAAGTGAGGCTGGTGACCACAACAAAGGGGACACGGTGGGCAGAGATGAGGAAGGGCCTTTGCTGAGACCCTTGGCTGAGGAGCTGCACTGCACAACCTTTGGGGCAAGAGCTTCCTTACCTTGTGGGACGCTCCCTTGTGTTGGGCCACTCGCTTTGTGTTCTTACAGCACTGGGTGGCAGACAACTCTGCTACCCGCACCTGCCCGTCCCGGGCACACATAGCCAGAGTGGAATCACCACTATTAGGAAGGAACTTGGCCTGGAAAGTTAAGGATGAAAAAAGGGACATAAAAAATAAACTGAGGAGGTAAATTTGAAGGAGAAAAACATGCCGACAACCCCAACTCACCCCCTTTTGTTGCACCACAGCTGGAAACTTAGCTCTCCTACTCTTACACCATTGGCTCAAATCCAATTTCTTCCAAGATTTAAAGGAGAGGGAGAGAAAACACTTCTGATGTAAGGAAGCTTTTCAGTTGACTCTGGAAGGTTGAACTGGTACAGAGTAAGCGCTCAGGTGAACTAGGACTATGCCTACTAGAGGAGAAATGGAAAAAAGGAGGGAAATCTATTTGATACAGGAAGCAAATATAAATTTGCTACACAGCAACAGGAAACTAGAGGGCTGCTGGGGAAGGAAAGAGAACATGCTTCAGGGTAAGTGGCTAGTACCAACATGATGGATGTAAAATCTCCAAAGAATAACAATACTGATTAATATTTACCAAATGTTTATTAAGTAGAACGCATGGCTCTAACTGCTTAGCTTCTATTGCTATTTGATCCTCATAACCTTCTTTGTAATTAGCCGTATCTTATAGATAAGTTAACTCAAGACAAAGGTTAAATAACTTGCCTAAGATCACACAGCTAGTGAGGAATAGGGCCAGGACTTGAAGCCAAGCAGTCTGGCTTGAGAGTCTCTGTTCTTACACTGTACGTCTCCTACCAGGGGCACATCTCATACCTTCCTGATGATTTCCAAGCACCCTACCTACAATGAGATTTCCAAGTCTTTATTCTCAAGGAAACAAGAGTGCCGTAGGTCTTTCAGTGTATTAACGCCTGAGTCACTATGAGAGCCACGGTGGGACCGAGTCCAGATGGGTGATTCCTACCACAACTCCTAGCGGCCCCCACTCCAGGCAGCAGCTCAGGTCTGTCTAACTCATGCCTGACCTTCTCAGCTGCTCTTCTGCTCCCTTGCCTCACCTGGAAGACATTGCTTTTGTGGCCGCTCTCAAAGTCCAGCACTGGCTGCCGCCGCACCCAGTCCCAAACCACCACTTTCAGGTCATCGCTGCCACTGGCCAGCCAGGTGCCACGCTGGTTAAAGTGCAAGGTATTGACACAACCAGTATGGCCCTCAAGCCCATGCTGCAAGCGGAAACGCTGCACAAAGACTCTTGCCCCACAAGCCTCATATACAAAGCGGGCACTTGAACCCAGCTCCCGCTCCCGAAGGGCAGGAAGGGCTTGCCAGCGAGGTCGGGGCAGGGCTGATGTCTCTGAGGAAACCCAGTCCTCCAGGGCCCGCTCATCATCTGATGAGTCCTGGTCACGACTGGCCCGCTTGCGCTGCACACGGCACCGAGGATGCTCCTCCTCCTCCTCCTCCTCCTCCTCCTCCTCCTCTGAGTGGTCATGTACTTGGTTTTCGTCGTTGATGGAGTAATGGCCAGTGTCTTCCATGCTGTCAGAGTCCTTGTCTTCACCTGAGCTCTCTGTATCTGTGCCTCGACTTTCCGTGCTGGTGCGGTTGGGGCCACCGTCATCCCCGGTCAAACTCAAGCTCAGGTCTGAGGCCTCCACTTCAATGCCTGAGGATGTCTCCCTCCCCTCCTCAGCTCCGGACATCTCCTCCGGACTGCTAGACAGGCTTCCTGCGCATCAGTGAGGAATGGGTAGGTGGGGGGGGGACGAAGGAAATAAGATAGTGATCAGAAAGCTTTCCTCTCCTTAGTCTAAGAAATCATCCCATCCAAAGACCCAGAAACCAACTTTGGTCAAAGTGTCTTTGTTACAAATGCTTATAAAGAGTACCTGCAGAGGTGACCTCACATAGGATGACAATGAAAAGATTAAGACCAAAGCCACACAAAATAAAGGCAGTTCAACACAAGTGAAGAATTACAGGACAACCTAAGATTCTAATAAATTCTCAAGAAGCAAGGCACTGGCGAATTGTATGGAAGTACAGCCGATACAAACACCTTGGGCTCTATTCTGCTGGAAGGACATCCATTAGTTACAGCAAATAATTAAACTGATACAAGAAAAAAGAAGAGCCATCTGCTGTAAGAGTTAGCTTAGCCATCTTCATAGAGAAAGACGGAAAATAACTGATTACAATCACTCTGACAATAGATGTGGACTTGGACTATTTCCTGTTTGGAGGAAATCCCACTACCTCTACCTCCTAAATCCTGAGGTTTCTTCTCCCAAGGTCCCAAATCCACCAAGAATCAAGAAGGAAGTGGAAAGGGCAAACAGGAATTGTGATCATTTGAGTGGGTTCATGCTCACTTTTTGCTAATAAATATATTCTAACTTACTTCCATTAATTTAATAATTTTATACAATTCTTAGTTATAGGAATTCTTAGAAAGCATAAGTAAAATTGATAAAAAGCAGGGTTATTATAGTGGATCTGAGAAGAAAAGTTCACGATTTTCTAGGTCTGCCACACTGGTGGTTTTAAGTAAGTGGGTCCCTTGAGGTCTCACCCCTGACAGTGAGGTCCTGCAGTCCCCGTGAACAGCCAAGTCACATTCTAGTGAGCACTCTGGCAACGTTCTAGAGCCAGTGTGACCACAGCTTCCAAACTAAGGTCAAGGTGTGATAAAAGAAAGCAGGGAATGGGGATTTTAAACAACTGCTCATGGCCTTCTTTCCTAAGACGACCATAATTTTTATCTTGTCAGAATTAAAGAATATTAGGAAAGGCAGACTAGCTATGTGTGACTCTGGTATGACCTATTCAACTCCAATACCACACTGACGTTGAAGAATTCAAAGCTGGAGCATCTTACTGGTCAGTCATCTGGATTAGAGCAGTAATTTCTAAAGACCTCTGAAGCAATGGAGCCCCTTTTCAATGAACTCTTAGGCAAAATCCAATACAGGAAACAGATAATTTATTCCTAGGAACTGCATCTGAGGAGACTGCTATATATTCCAAGGAAGATCAACACTTGTGGTTATGAAACACAATTGCACTTGAGACGGAGTGGTAAGAAGGGATAAAATGTCACATCTGTCACTTCAGTGGAGAAGGAAAAAAAGAACACCCAAACTTCTATCATTTATTGTTAAAATTATGATCAACAAATTAAGATGACTTTGGGGGTCCGACCACATTAACATATGAGCCAGAGCATATATCACATGCTCAGCAAAAGGACCCTGCCTGATAAGTCAGTGACCAAGATCTAGCTGAGGGGTTAATTTTTTTTTTCTGTAAGGGGCCAGACAATAAAAACTTCAGGTTTCACAGACCCTATGAATCTCTGTCACGACTGCTCAACTCCACTGTTGTAGGACGAAAGCACCCATGAACACTATGTAAATGAACAGGGCATGACTGTGTTCCAAACACCTTTACAAGAAAAGTGTAGGCTGGATTTGACCTGAAGGCTTGTTCGCCAATCCCTGATCTAGCTAAGGGCCAAACGCCAAATCAGCTATACCTCAAACCCTGTGCCTTTCAACTAAGACAAATAAAATACCTGAACTAGATTTCATTTACAGAAGATGAATGAATGGCAGTGGTAAGAAAAAAACAAAGGGGCGATAAAACAGAACTCAAAGCTCCCCCCTGCCCTTAGTCACCTTCACTGCTCTGCCCATCTCATCAACTAGAGTTAAGCCTGTAATTCTGACCTGCAAGATGCTGAGAAATGCTACAATCTGTGCTGCCCCAACTATATCCATCTGTTTAAAAGAATATTTCTCTAGTTTAAAAATTGGTTCAGAGTTAAGTATTGGTTGAATAACCTAGGTAGCAACTGTACTCTATCAGAATCTTGATGGTCTGCCTTCAAATCTGCCCTAGACTCAATGATTTAATGCTCTGCAGCACATTCCTAAGAGGAAAGACAGACAGAAAGTACCAATCCTAACGAGGTTAGGTTGTAACTTCATCTCTTTCTAGTATCTCTACTGAACGTGATCTGCCAGGGAAAGAGACCTTTCATTTTAACAGGGGAACTTCACCTTCCCAACATTTCCCTTTGTTCCCACTACCAACTGGATCTTCTCTTTCTCCCTTATTAACAGCATCACCTAGGTTTTGTCCACCCTTATAACCTTTGAAAATTCCAAACCACGTGACTTAACACAGTTACTATTGATCTCCTGAAAGTGATCAGATGAAAGTTGAAGGAGCAAAAGTGCCAGATAGCCCAAGGCATTTCCTGTTATTTTCCTATACTCAAAATAAGACAAGAAGGGTTAACTTATAGGAAAGACCTCCTTCTCTCCTCTAAAAGCCAGGTCTCCACTCTCTTTGGGGGAAAAGGAGAGCCCCAACGGGTAGCAAAAACAGCTTCCCCTTCCTTCTGGCCCCTTACCGTTAGCCAAGTCTGTTCCTCCATCTGTGCTGCCCCCTTTGCCGGACATCCTGGAAGCTGTGTACTGTAGCCAGCCTGGATTTAGGAAAAGGAAGAAAATGGAACAATTAGGAAACTATCTGGGAAAGATGAGAGAAGGAACAAGGAGGTTTAACAACGTATAGCCGTTATCATTTTCATAAAAATGACTTTCTTGTGTGTATTTAACAGGGCTTCTTAGTTGCTGAACATCATACCAGATTTCCCCCCATCTATATTCCATAAAGGGACTATCATTGGGAGATCAACAGCCATCACTTTACCTTACTGAGTAACTGGCAGTGCTTTTTCAGATGGGAAAGAGGGAAACTGAAATAAAAGTTGGAACAGCAGGCAAAGATCAAGTGACAGGTACTACAAGCAAAGAGCCTTACTTAACACAATACAAAACGCCAGCTGCTCGGCAAGAATCTTCCATTGTAAATACTAGTCCTATGTATCCACAACCTCTATAAACTTGTCTTTATAATACGATGGGGCAGCTCAGACTCTGAATATCATCTGCACACAAATCAACAGAAAGAGAAGAAATCAAGCTCTTGGGGTAAGAGTTTGGATTTTCTGTTCACTAAGATACTTAGCTTCAAACTTTTAGGCACAGGTGTAAATTAAAGAGTATAAGGAGCAGATCCAAATGAGTCTCAGGAGCCCCCCTACCCCTAAGAAAGAACCTGAAAGGTATTTTCCTCTTCTACTTAGAACTAATAGTTACCAAGTGCAAATCTGGGGAAGAAAAGGGTGACACTTCCATTATACTGTCTCAGTCCACTTCATAAAATGGCAAACATTATTTCACCTAATTCCACCAAATTTCAACAGATTTTTCTTTTTGGCAAAGCAACTAGGAACTTGAAAACCTAGCTCTTTTCCTTTTATACCACTTTTAACACATCATTTTTTTCACAGCCTTACTCCCATCTCGAGCAAATTCCAAAGAGCAAAGAATAATACTATTCAGACCACAATTTTGTTAAGCCCTTTCAGTGCCTTGGACAAAAGGCACTGGTCAAAGACAAAGTATGATTATGACTCCAGCCCTTGTACCCAGGCACACTGGCCTCTAATCTCTCAACAGCCCTTTCATTCCGTAACAAGTATCGCAGAAGCAGACCCATCCTTATCCTTGCCCCTTACTCTCCTCTACAGAAATCCAAGATGCTTCAAAAAAAGTATCCTTTACCAAGCGACAGCTGCGCAAAGCTCACACATAGTAGGCCAGAGCGGGGGAACAGAAATAATGCAAGAGCAGGACTGAGGCTGAATTTGCAGGAAGGACACCTGGAAGGCTGATTAAAGACAATGCCAACAAAAAACAGATTTGAGAAGCCACATAAAGAAAAACAGCGAGGGGCTGTTTGCAGGGCAAGCTGCTTCCCTCCTACTACTTCTTCAATGATGTATTTCTGCACGGCATTCCTCACACAGCACTTGTATTTTCCTCTTGGTAGTTAGTCCCTGTTTATGTTCTTTACCATCTTAGCAATCTTCTTCCCCACCTAAGGTTTAAATTAATTACATTAATTGTATAAGTCCTGTAAATGGGGAAAATGACTGCACTACTTTATTAAGATTAAAGACTTAGATCATACACATACCTTAAAGTCAATTGAGACCAGACGTGATGTTTTCTTATCTCCAGAATCAAAACTGTCAACCACTCCAATACTTCCCGCCCCACTACTATTCACTCCCAGAGAAGAACAAAGGAGCTCCTGGGACCCTTTCTTGAAACTAACTCTCATCAACTTCTACAGAAGCCCAGATTGCCTAAACTTTACAGACTCATAATGGCTCTAGAAAACATTTTGCCTTCCCGACTCCACAACCAGGAGGCGCCAGAGCCTAATGCCACCTAGCTCTCAGCAGTAAAGAGTCATGAGGTTCAACCCCATACCCAGACTGGGGACACTGGTTTAAAGTTCTTGCAAGAAGGATCTTTTCTTTTTGAAAAAAAGTTGACAGAATCTATTGCTAAACTCAGAAAGAGAGAAAACCCTGTGAATGCTTACGCCAAATTGTCTAATCACTGAGTGGTTAGGCAGATAATTTTGAAAGGTCACATTTTAGGAGCCACAGAATTTAGCAAAATCAGTTCTAGACTGAAAATTAGAAGCCCAAGATTCTGGTATCAGCTAAGCCATTAGCATACTTTGTGACCTTGGATGAGCTGCTTAATCTTCTCTGGGCTTCATTTTCTTCTTTTGCAGAACAGTGTTAGTAATTCCAGAGAAGGGATAGGTAGGTAGAATTGCATGCTAAACGTACAGTAGCACAAGGATGCTACTTAACAGTGGTCCCAAGATCATTAAGAATCTCTTTCAGTGAAAACTTAGAGCATGAGCCCTCAATATGTATGTATATACACAAAACATTTAATCAATTCACATTAAATATTAAGCTTAATTTTTCTAGGAAAAAAAAGAGAAATTTCAATATTCTTTTTCTATATACCACTGTATCATCTCCATACCTCTTGGGGTGCACACATTCCCATTTTGGGGCACCACTTCACCAGAAAGCCAAGAAATGACGACAATAATAAAATACAATTATGTGGGAGATGAGTTGTTATTCTTCTCATATAAATTTCTATCAAACGAAGAAACTTGAAACCATCTCAACTCCAGGGCAGGAATCAGAGTAAGTGCCCAAACTCATGCAAGCTAAGATCCTATGATTGTGCCCTAGGTCTCAGGTATAGAAGCCACTCTAGAATCTTTTCAGTCACCAAGGACCACCACCTTATTTTATACTGAGGTTAGGATCTTACTTCACCCAAACTTTTCACTCTTTAACTGCACTACCTTCCCAACAAACCCACTATTTTTACCTTGATCAATTTCCATGTAAAATCCAGTCCCAAGCAAACCCATCTGAGCTTGGAAGAGCTGACGAGCTCACTGCGCCAGGTAGCTGGGGGAGTTTAATTAGATTAGCTCCATGGCCTGTACTCTAAAAATAACCACAACCCCTGCCAAACTGAAGGTTAAAGAGTAAACTATTGGGGGGTGGGGGAAAGGGGTGGGGGAAAAGATCCAGGCATCATTTTAATTTGTACCCAAGAAATCTCATGACTTGGATTTTTTTGTCTTAATAAGAAAAAGGCCTTAAATTTTTAACCAAAGACATGACAAAATATTAACTAAAACCAAGCAGAGGAGGAGTTAATACAGTGTACTTTGTGAAAGAGGTACCAAACATCTCGTTTAAAACCACTGAGGCGGCTTTCTTTTTCTAATAATGATGAAAGATTTGTACAAGAGACCATGTAAACTAGAACAGCAAGGACATCCAAATGAAAACAAAAAGAAACTCAACTCACATGTTGTACAATATTATCATTTTTTTCACAGCCTTACTCCCATCTCGAGCAAATTCCAAAGAGCAAAGAATAATACTATTCAGACCACAATTTTGTTAAGCCCTTTCAGTGCCTTGGACAAAAGGCACTGGTCAAAGACAAAGTATGATTATGACTCCAGCCCTTGTACCCAGGCACACTGGCCTCTAATCTCTCAACAGCCCTTTCATTCCGTAACAAGTATCGCAGAAGCAGACCCATCCTTATCCTTGCCCCTTACTCTCCTCTACAGAAATCCAAGATGCTTCAAAAAAAGTATCCTTTACCAAGCGACAGCTGCGCAAAGCTCACACATAGTAGGCCAGAGCGGGGGAACAGAAATAATGCAAGAGCAGGACTGAGGCTGAATTTGCAGGAAGGACACCTGGAAGGCTGATTAAAGACAATGCCAACAAAAAACAGATTTGAGAAGCCACATAAAGAAAAACAGCGAGGGGCTGTTTGCAGGGCAAGCTGCTTCCCTCCTACTACTTCTTCAATGATGTATTTCTGCACGGCATTCCTCACACAGCACTTGTATTTTCCTCTTGGTAGTTAGTCCCTGTTTATGTTCTTTACCATCTTAGCAATCTTCTTCCCCACCTAAGGTTTAAATTAATTACATTAATTGTATAAGTCCTGTAAATGGGGAAAATGACTGCACTACTTTATTAAGATTAAAGACTTAGATCATACACATACCTTAAAGTCAATTGAGACCAGACGTGATGTTTTCTTATCTCCAGAATCAAAACTGTCAACCACTCCAATACTTCCCGCCCCACTACTATTCACTCCCAGAGAAGAACAAAGGAGCTCCTGGGACCCTTTCTTGAAACTAACTCTCATCAACTTCTACAGAAGCCCAGATTGCCTAAACTTTACAGACTCATAATGGCTCTAGAAAACATTTTGCCTTCCCGACTCCACAACCAGGAGGCGCCAGAGCCTAATGCCACCTAGCTCTCAGCAGTAAAGAGTCATGAGGTTCAACCCCATACCCAGACTGGGGACACTGGTTTAAAGTTCTTGCAAGAAGGATCTTTTCTTTTTGAAAAAAAGTTGACAGAATCTATTGCTAAACTCAGAAAGAGAGAAAACCCTGTGAATGCTTACGCCAAATTGTCTAATCACTGAGTGGTTAGGCAGATAATTTTGAAAGGTCACATTTTAGGAGCCACAGAATTTAGCAAAATCAGTTCTAGACTGAAAATTAGAAGCCCAAGATTCTGGTATCAGCTAAGCCATTAGCATACTTTGTGACCTTGGATGAGCTGCTTAATCTTCTCTGGGCTTCATTTTCTTCTTTTGCAGAACAGTGTTAGTAATTCCAGAGAAGGGATAGGTAGGTAGAATTGCATGCTAAACGTACAGTAGCACAAGGATGCTACTTAACAGTGGTCCCAAGATCATTAAGAATCTCTTTCAGTGAAAACTTAGAGCATGAGCCCTCAATATGTATGTATATACACAAAACATTTAATCAATTCACATTAAATATTAAGCTTAATTTTTCTAGGAAAAAAAAGAGAAATTTCAATATTCTTTTTCTATATACCACTGTATCATCTCCATACCTCTTGGGGTGCACACATTCCCATTTTGGGGCACCACTTCACCAGAAAGCCAAGAAATGACGACAATAATAAAATACAATTATGTGGGAGATGAGTTGTTATTCTTCTCATATAAATTT